CCCTACGGTGGTGGTGGAACAAGTGAGAGGTTGTGTGGCACTTAGTTACCAGCTGGGGTTAAACCACATTATCAAAAATATTTGCCTAAGCATTTAATAAAGTGATCCACAGCATTTAAGAACAAAATTTTAAGGTTTGAAGTTAAATTCAGCCAGAGGCTTAGGCTGAAAGAAGCCTCTGGACATAGGAAGATCTCACTCCATCCCATGGGGATCTTCAGTCCTGCATTAGATCCTCAGGCACGGTCTGTTTTTCAGTGGAATGAAGAAGTGTGAAAACCTCAGAGCAGGATTCACAGTGGTGGTCAGCAGTAGTACCTTTCTAGCCTGCATATCTCTAATGGCTGTTGCACTCTCCTGGGGATTAGGTGGTTCTTGTTCAAATCCCTCTCTGTCTCAGTGAGAAAAGCTTTTGAACATGGTTTTCAACCCCTCAGTGACTGCTTTATCCGGAGAAGCAGACTTAATTGTCTCTTGGGTAGGAGCAGTTCAGTTTCAAGAAAGGAAATTAATACCCTCCCTGATCAGGACAGAAAACTGAGAAAGTTCAATACTGACAAGACTCAGGCATGTTTAATACACAATTCCAGTTGCTAAATTTCAGTTTAAGAAAAAGCTAGGAATTGTCTAACAATTCAATCAATCTTATAGGATTTGGCTCTAAGTTTATTTTATAGTGATCTGGTTTTCCTGTATAAATACAAAAAAAGTCTCAGTTGCATATCAAAAAGCCATTTCCTATTCCCTGTGTTCTGTCAATTGTTCCATCTCTGTAGTGGTTATTTTATTTACTCTACTCCCTTTGTTCACAGGGCAGTGTAGAATTGGAGAATTCAGCAAAGGGGAAAAAATGATTCAGTCATCAAGACTATCACTTCCAGTTCAGGATTATTGCTCATAATATTTTCTCTGGACTGGCTCACACCAGACTTGAGTGGCTCAAAAAATAATGCTGCCCTTGTACTTGAGCTGGTTAAAGCACAGTTACTCAGGCCTTACACTGGTGAGAGGAATTTCAGTGCAAACGAGCTATTTTCATAGCATGGTAAGCTAAGAGAAAACCCAACTTTTAGTGAACTGTGCCTTTCCAAAAATCACCAAAGAGTTAGCACTAGTGTGGCTGTTATCCCCTTAGGGAGATTAACACACTACACCAGGAACAAATAAATAAATCATGCATGGCTGTTGGGCAAACGTGGGAAAAATGATTCTCCTTTACTGAAAGTATTGGATCAAGTGACCTTGTTACGACCTGGGTTTGGGCAGAAGCCAGTCCCAGTGGAACAAACGTAAGAAGGCTGTACTTGAGATGGCTTTGGGGTTTTGCTTATTTTCTTTTTGTTGGGCAGAGTTTTAAAATAACAGAAAAAAATCAAAACCACTCGAATAACTGATGTATTTATTTCTTATATACACTTAAATATGGCACATCTGACAGTAGTTGTACAATAAACACAAAATGATAATCAAAGCTGGACAGTAGATCAAATAACTCAGTGCTGAACCTATTAGAAGCCAAATCCTGTACACTGAATTTCGGAAGAAAGTTTTACCCAGGAGCTGCATTAGCTAAGGATTCCGAGGCTAAGTTTATCTAGCCTCAGTTTCTGACAGACTTTCTGGAGGCTGTGACTCTACTACCAACACACCAGCTTCATCTTCCATAATGTAACATCGAACTGGCATTTTCCAGTCTTTCTTCCATGCAGCCAGCAATTCATCAGCTGTTGTTACCTCCTATTGAACAATTACCAATGTCCCAGAGGATTCACCTGCAGTTAGTGATTACTCTAATAAATAAATGCAGACTGGATTAACTCTTCTGCTATTAATGTGGAAGATGTTCATGTTTACTATTGTTTGAAAGTCAGTGACAGCTACTTTGCAAAGCAGTGGATTTTTGAAGAATAGGGGAAGCTCAGTCAAGGAGTTTCTCTGCTTTGGGACCCATGAGAACCTCTCTTCTCCTTTGGACAACGGCAATGCCTGGAACACATTGGTTTTGCAGTTGGGCATGTTCTGGGTTGGGATGGACATCTGTCCTCACAGCTGTTTGATAAAGGAGAAAAAAAGCAGAAAGAGTGAAGCATTGTAATACAATAATTCTTCACTGCCGCATTCCTCAACTTTTTCATCATTGAACGCTGCAATGCTCCCTGGACACTGTTTGGGGAAGTGTTGACATCCTATAACAGAGGAAGACAAGACTTTACTGCCTGACAGTTCTTGTCAGCAGCAACATGTCTTGCAGTTGTCCATTTGTCCACAGTCATGACCTCAGCTTTAATACCTGAGAGCAGTGAAGAGTGTCAGCACTGGATAGTGATGCCCTCAAATTCTGCGAAGACCTTAATTCACCTAATCTAAGCTTTGGTCCGCCAGGTATATTGGGCATTGAAGTCTGGCATTGAAGTCCTCTGTCCAGATTATGGCAATTTCTAGAAGCCAAATTCATGTAAACAAATTATTGTATTGTTACCCTCCCACCTGTCTGAAACACATATAACCAAGACTTTCGCGCTCACTTTCAGCTCTGCTGATTCTTTTAGCTGTTTTTATACTTATCAACTATTTTGTGTTTGTCCTTATTTTCAAAGTGGAACCTAAAGATGCAAAGGTTACTTCTTCCACAGCATCTTCTCCATGATTGAACCTATGAAGTCTCAGAATGGACCCTGTGGGTGACCACTCAGTGAACTGCAGCTCTGCCAAGGCAACCAGGGAAACTGGATGTTGACTATCCTTACATAAACTTTGAGACTGAGCTACTGTCTGCTCCTGGGTGTCTACAGGGGACCAAGGCTTCCTAAAAAACTAAAAAAATAAACTAATGCATGAAAACAGGTATTTTAAAATGGCATTTTCTGTCTGAATTTTGTCACAGAAACCTCAAAACTAATTATACACAAAGGTAGAGAAATGCATGGAGTATAGTAGCCCCAGAACAATTTTCTGGGTTCTCAGTGAGGTCAGAGCTGATTGAGTGAATTTGTTTGTGCACAAAATTGCATTAGACCTAGAAAATAACTTGCTCTGAGAACAAACTGAACAAGGTATGTGCTGCATGCTCTGTGTGCCAGCTTAGGGAGCCTTTGTCCCTTATCTCACTGTAAATGTGCTGTGCTACAGTGTAATTTCAGTTGTAGCACAGTCCCTTAAGATTAGGAAAAAAGTATTGATAGCTGAATAGCAGTCTTGTCCAGACTTCATTAAAACACAGTTAAATAAACCTTAGATTCCTTTTATGATGTATTGTAAATATAATCTCTATTATTATTATTATCTCTCTAACTGCAGCAAGCTATTTTATCCCCGGTGGACCTCCTAGCCAATTCAGCACTTGCACCTCTAGCATCTAGGCAAGCTAGTTCAGATCTTGCAGCATAGACACTGAATGCCAAGGATCACTTACCTGCAGGTTTCAGCATGAAATATCTTGTGTTTTAGAGCACAGCTCTCCTGGCTCTCCCTACACAAGTAGCAGCTGCAGTTCTCTTTACTCTGAAAGAAATCTGTGGGACACTTATGTCTACAGATGCATTCACAATTTTCTTCATCAAATTCCATGTGTTGTCCACACATAGCCAGCTCAGCAAGAGAAGGGAGTCCTGCAATAGCACATACATCTTTTAGCAGTAAGCTTTAAATTACTAAATCCTGCTTTGGAAGAGACTCTTTCTGTGCTCTAATCACTGCAACTCACACATGTATTCTCCGATAGATTCTGGACTTCAGAATTTCTGCTGTTACTTAGAGTGCAGAAAAGGACTTGAGAGGATTGGGCTGACTATTTCACTTACTCTAATACTGCTGTTTCTTGTGGGTTGAACCCAGCAAAGAAGAATTTGGGGGATGTATATTACAAGAGCCTAGGTTGTTTTGGAATGCACAAATCTTTACTGGGCAGCAAGTTTTAAATTAAAATCTTGAAAAGGATGAAGTCTATACCCACGACAAAAAGACACATCCATGCAAACTGTCAGACCCACCACATGTACTTCACTATACACTGAGAAATTTTGCAGAAGTAATGCCATGTCTAGTAAGGTGTGAGCTGGCCTAGCACTCCAACAAGGAGTATATATACACTTGTCAGCTGGAGATAGAAGGAAATACTTTGTTTCAGAAACAAAAACCCAGCCAAGGAAACACACTGTCTCATACCTCATCTATCTTCCCACAAAATACACATCTGGAGCACAATATGAAGCTAATCCCAGGAAAAAGGGAACACATTTTGTGAAAGCTTTATTAAAATGCAAGCAGCACATCCCTGGTTAAAGGTCATGGCATATAATGTGTCATTGGGCAGGTAATTTCCTGTAGTTTTGCAATTAGCTTTTGGATTTAATCTATGGAATGTGGAATGTAACCTGCATCCACGACCTCTGGTGCCTGATCACTGATCTCAGTGGCCAGAAAAGGCTTGCACATTATTTGAAAGAAACCTTCATTTTTACTTACTTAATGCTGGAAAACTAGTATCCAGACAGAATAAAACCCAAGGCCTATTGGAAGGGAGGAAGGAATCTGCTCATATTCTTGGAAGACAAACTCCTTCCTTGGGGTGATAAAGCTTGGCATGTGTGAAGTGGTGTAGAGTGTTTCGATCTCATTTTGTTTCAACCTCAAAGACAGATTTGAAGTTATTTTGTCCCAGCCACTGCCAAACACAATGTACTTCAGAGAATGATATTTCTTCTGAGGAATTATTGAGTCTATGTCAACAAAAGCTATAATTCAACAAGCCACAAATTTTAATGCTCCAAGCTGACCTTACAAAAGGCTAAGAGTTAAGAGGACTCTGGCTATTCACAGTCCTTTGGGCTTACTCTGAATTATAGAGTATTAATCCATTCTTGAGTGAAAGATCTAACCTGAGTTTAACTGCCTAACCTGATTGTCAGCAGATCTCAGCCACAGTGAGAAAAGAAACAGTAGACAACTTTATGCAACTGATTTCTTGCTAATTAACATGACGAGATTGTAATCAGCGCACCAGTTTATGAGGTATTTAGTTTCATTTTAGTTTGCTAGTTAGGAATTGCTTGCCAGCTTGCTTTATGGTTGCTTTGGATGGTTTATTATTTTGCTTGCTGCATGTAGGTTAAACCACAAAGGCAAAGTTTCCTTCTGTCTCCATCTGCTCTGGTGCTATGATTGTGTTATTTTGACCAGTACAGTTTCCTGAGAAAAACAATTTTTAAAAACCTTACACAGGACTTAGTGAAAATTTAACTTTTCTTAATGTTTTACCCCCATAATATTTCCTGCAAATTTCTTTGGCAGTTTAATATTTTACAGGAGAAGCAGAGGAAGAAGGGAAATAGTTACACTTCTACGAATTTTACTCTCTTCCATTTCCTTCCACAGACCTGAAGGAGTGTACATACATACTCCTGAGTATGTAGGGTATATCAGTTTGAAAGCTTCCTAAATAACAGTATTGTTATAAGAAGTAGTCAAATACTTCGAAGAGTCATATAATCTTTTGCACTGACTACAGCGAACAGGCAGGACTGATTTTGCCTATCTTATTCTTTATTAAGTCTGTTCTTAAGAATTTCCTAAAATAAATATCAGCAGCTGCCCCATGCTATATATTCCTGGGCATTTTTTCTCACACAGTTAGAAAGTTTTCCCTAATGCCCATCATACAATGTAATGTCCATGTAAAATAAAAATTTATCCAGGGTACCTACTTCACTGACTCTTTTTAATACTTTCCTATACCCTATTCAGGCTGCTAATATAGAGTAAAACATACAAGCAAAAGACATAAGATGGGGATAAGCACATATGAGTGTTTATTTTCAGGTGAGTTTCCACGCCATAATCCAATTCTATCTTGGGATGTGTAATCTAAACTGAAACTGTCTCAATTAAAAAAAACCCAGGAAAATAGAAAAAGCCCAAAATGAGACATGAGCAGCTTGGAGATAGTATGCAAAAGTGTCTGTCATTGTATCTTTACCTTCTCGTCTGTTGGAGTGCTCTGTGTCTGAAACACATTCACATTTGTCACTGTCCCAGATCCATCCATTATGGCAAAATTTGTTGGTAAAGGGGCATCTAGAAGAAAAAAAGGAGATAGGAATTAAAAATTACTACACCACTGTAGTCATTTGGCAAAATTAGCCTGCTGCTATGCTGAGTCTGCCACTTGTACACCATGAAGTTTGGCATGACTACGCCAGTGTAGTCATTTGGCAAAATTAGCCACTTGTACACCATGAAGTTTGGCATCTGTGTGCATTAATGCTGCAAACAGAAAAACTTAGGGCTGGATAGTTCTGCTGATAGGGCTATTGGCTCCCAACAACCAGAAGCAGCAAGTACAGCACTTATTTGAGGTAACATCCTTAGGAAACAGTTACAATTTTGCAGCTCCACATTTCCATAAAACAGTTTTACCCCACCCAGGGTAGTCTTTGTCTTACACTATTCATGACATATAACTGTTCAATATGGCTGTGCTGCCTAAAGGTGCAGCTCCAGTTTAAATTTTCCTATGCTTAAGGATGTACAGTGGACTATTTCAGTGTCAGAGAGAGACAGTTTGACTTTTAGACCCTTTGCTTTGTGAGTGGAACTCACAAACTGGAATAAGGCTGAGGTTCCTCTGTATTTGTGTAGGAGGAGGATTCAGAGTGGCCAGCAGGCTGAGGGAGAGCTGGAGTGGCTTTGCTGACATGCAACTTCTCCCCAGTCCAGATTCTAACTGAAAGACAGTTATGGGGACTTAAACCTATTTGTGCTTCTAGAGTGTTTGTTATATTAATGTTGCCTGTCCTCACCAGGAGTACAAGTATTTTATGCCATATTTTGGAGTTAGTGGTGAGGTCACTTTTCTCTAGTCCTTGAGCCTGACAGATGCAAACCAGGGCTGGATCAAAGAGTGAAAAGCCACGATTCACACTGATTCTGACCTGATGTGCCATAAAGTATGGCAGAGGGCTTTAGCTTAAAAATAATGTGTGAGCAGAGTTGCTGTGTCAGGTTGAAAAAGTCTGTGCATTCATACCCAAATAGCTCCAGTGGAGCAGAGTACTAATGTGTGCACTTTCAGTCCCTGCTCTAGCACTCAAATGTCATCATGACTCCAGGTGCTGCTGAACTGGCCTGCAGGTCCATTCACATATAATTCATCAGGTTTAGCTGAACTTTTTAACCCTGAGTGATAATCAAATTTTTCAGAAAAACTCTTGGGGTAGCAGAAAGAGAATGGACCATTATAACATCCAAATCAGAACAAAATAATTTCAACATGTGTAGAAGTTTGCAAGTGAGGGAACTTACCCATCTTCTTCTGGGTACTGGACAGATCTTCGTATGATGGTGTACTGGTGGCGCTGAGTATTTGATGTACACTTACAGCCTGTGTGATTGGCAATTTTGATGGGCACAGGCTCAGGAACACTTGTCAAGGGAACTGAGATCTCAAAGAGCTAGGTGGGTGAAATAACATTTATTTTTCAGTTTCCATTCTACAGTTGATATTTGGAGTTTTAAATAAAAACCCCTTATTCTTTGTCATCATTTTTCTCACCTGTGCTCTTTTTTTAGAGACAGTTACTGTAAGCATACATGACCAGAAGCACACTGAGGTAACTTACCAAAACAGTGGTCCTAGTGCTCTATTACCAGCTGTGTGTAACTACCAAGACCATTCAAAATTACTTGCAAACAAACTCAGAAGCCTCTTCTGGATGCTAGGGCCAAATGGGAAAGATGTAGTTGTTTGGAACTTTGTTCTCAGTTATATCATGGGTTGAATCTCAACCACTTATGGAGACAGCTATTTAACTGTCCTTGGGTATAATCAGAGCATGCATCTTTAGGGACCTAACTCAACCCCACAGCCTCCTCAGGGAGGGAAGAGACAGGAGTAAATAGAGGAAAGTTCATTCTGCTTCAGCTGGGTTCCTGCAGGGAATCATCCTGGAAACATCTCTCTGTTGACTGTAGCAGGAGCTTAAGCAACCAAGCAGCCTACTTTTAGTGCATCCACATTGTTTAGGGTGTTCTTTGAATAGCCCTGTGGAGGCCCTGGTTCCTTGGGCAGGTATGTGTAGGAGCTGTTGAAGTGATCCACAGCCCTTCTGCCCTCAAACCAGCTTCCTTCTCATAGAAAGCAAAGCATTGGGTTGTTTGACATGACAGCATGCCTTGGCCTAATGTTGCATCCACATACAGGAACTCAGTATTCCTAAGCCTAATGCTTAGACATTTAAACTTAAGTGTTGTAGTACTGACTTTAAGTGGCATTAATATCCTTCAGTGGATATTTTAGACCAAGGGAAAAAAATGCTCTCACTAATATGGGAATACGGGAATAATTCCATCAGATGAGTAAATCGACCAAGGAAATGCTCTCACTAGTATGGGAATATGGGAATAATTCCATCAGATGAGTAAATCAGGACTGATGGTGGTGTATCCAGAAGTGGAACTTAGCTGGGGGCTTTTGAGGGAATGCTTATTTTGAAGGACACTGAAGGAATGTTACACTCTGCAAAACTGCAGTTTTCAACAAACTTATGAACTGCTGCTCCAAAAACACATAGAAATGCTCTCACTAGTATGGGAATATGGGAATAATTCCATCAGATGAGTAAATCAGGACTGATGGTGGTGTATCCAGAAGTGGAACTTAGCTGGGGGCTTTTGAGGGAATGCTTATTTTGAAGGACACTGAAGGAATGTTACACTCTGCAAAACTGCAGTTTTCAACAAACTTATGAACTGCTGCTCCAAAAACACATAAATAAATAAATACTTTTTAGCCTGACCTAGCTCCCTGAGCTGATCGGATGTCTTTTGTGTGTGGCCAACAGCTCATAACAGCTTTCTCCTTCTGGTGTGGAATGAAAGCAACTAATGAACATTGACGCAAGAAGGACAGGCCCTGATTTATTTTACTCCAGATATATTCCAGTACAACTGGACACAATGGAATTACATTCCAACAAACATGAAATAAATACAGACATGAACTAGACTTGTTCCCTATGAGGGCTTCAATTTTCTTTTTAAAACAATTGTTCTTGGTCTTTGTTCTGATTTAAAGAAATCTACTTTTTCATAAGTAGAATTTCATTTATTACACCAAGTCAAGTAGGAATGCACAAAGTGAAGGTTCATCAAAGAGGACCAGTCTCTTGTGTTCCTTCTGTGGGTGTGAACCATAGAATCATAGAAAGGCTTGAGCTGGAAGGGAATTTAAAGGTCATCTAGTTCCAACTCCCCCACACCATGGGCAGGAATGACACCCACTAGGTCAGATTGCTGATGAACAGAGATGGTTTCATTCATAGAGCTGATTGAAAGTACTAAACTTGGAGCTCTGCTCAGTCACCAGCTGGAACAAGATATCTGTGTACATACGCTCTAGTGGGAGTCTACAGAAAGAAGCTCTCTGGCTACTCTATGCTCACCTTTTGGCACTGGTCATTTGAACCAGTATCACCTCTTGCACCTAATCCATAATTGACTTCAAGTATCGCCTCTTGCACCTAATCCATAATTGACTTGGTTTAAGCCTTTCTTTTCCTAAGTGGCTTGTGATTTGGGACATTCAGATCCTGAGGCATTCAAATTAAGAGCATCTGGTCTCTCTTGAAGAAAATGTCTCTTTTTTTGGCTCGCAGAATTACAGATCCAAAATTACTAGCCAGCCTTCTTGGCAGTAATTCTGAAAATGCAGTGGCCAAACAGACCAAATTTTCTTGGGGTCTCTCTCTTTAACCTCTGATGCAAAGAATTCCCATCAGCCAATACTCTCAAGTTGTCCCAGGTCCAAGTAACATTAAAGGTCCAATACATTAAAGAAAGACTAAGCTCCTTAACATCACATGAGCCTGCAGTCACTTTCTCAGGGCCTGATTTTCCATCTCTACACATATATATATCTCCATTTTTAATACTGCAGTGTGAATGTAAAATGCTATTGCATATGCCTGCATTCACTCCCCATGGATAAAAAATTAATTCTTCTGTTTGTTATGATAGTGCAGACAGATCTTTCATAACAGGATCTCAGAAACCAAACATCCTCCTTCCCCTCCCTTTTTGTAGAGCCAGGATAAAAAGAAAACAGATGAGTAGCCTCATTTACCGTTTTTGACACGTAAGTTGTACTTGTATTCATGCAGCTCAGACTCTCCTCATTGCAGCAGCCTCCACATCTGAACACATTCACACAGGGAGGCTTGAAAAATTTGTTGGTTGTTGTACCCAGCTCTTTGGCAACTTCCACACAGGTTTCCCTTGGCACGCATTGAGTCTTTTGCCATTCTTCATCTATGACTGGAGGAAACACCATTTTAATAAGCAACCATAGCAAAGTTCAACCTCTAATTAGTAAAGCAGAAGCATTATATAAATAAAAACTGAACTGCTGGCAGGCCATTTGCACTTACTTGGATTGATTTGCACTTGGATCGATCTAAGGACTGGAGAGAGTCTGAGTGCAAAATTATCCCTGTAACTTACACCAGCTGCACTGGCAGAAAGCTTGTTGCATTCATGCTTTAGCTTTCAATGCAGATGACCAAAATCTCCATTAATTCCAGTGGGTTAAGTAGAACTGCATCGATTTCCCCTAGCTGAGAGTCCCTTAGCACCACAGTGTCTGACAAAGCTGCCTGTTCTTTACCCTGTTCTCCTTTGCTCCAGGGTAGCTTTCCTTACTGTCATTTTATCCTCTCTCTGCCTGTACCCCATCGTGGACTCAGTAGAGCCTGAGTGCAAAAGCACATTAATGATTAACAGATTCTGTCAGAGGGTATTAATACTCCTGCTGGATGTCAGCCAGTGAGCACTGTTTCCAAAATGTCTAATGAAATCCAAGAGAAACACTCTCACACCTCAGTACCATCAGGGGGTTCAAGTCTGAATAACAGGAATATGAATTCAAGTGTAATTTGCCTATTCAAAACACTGTGGCATCTTTCAAATACTGAGTTGTTGTAGACTAGTAGACTAGACTTGACTGATCTGTCAAATTCTGACTGTGAGAAGGAATAATGCATTAACTGACTGAACCAGACAGAGAAAACAGTGACATTTACATAATATGGTCTCGAGTGTTGTTAAGAGGTGGCCCTGCTTTTTTTGGCTTTTGCTTACCTGATTCAAGTTATGGAATTACTTAAGAGACATCAATGCTTATGCTTTAAGCTCTTCTTAAAATTATGAAAAACATTTTTCCTGTCTGTCCCTCTCCATCAGGTTTCTGAAAGATCAAAAGCAACTTCTATACTATTGTAAAAAATGCTCTCTCTTCTAGCACAATCCACCTCCGTACTATTGGGAAAGCAGTGCCTAAGTTTACAGGGAAGTTCTGGAGAAAAATTACCTTTCTAGAATACTGTTAATCTACATGCTATACCTTGCCTTCAGATGAGTATTTATTTTTCTCTTTCCTACCTGACTTTCCTTTTCTTATTTTTAACTTTTTCTTCAACTGAGTGTGTATATTTAAATCATTTTGTTTATTTCTGCAAAGTCCTTGTCCAGGGTTGATTCACTCAACTTTCCAGTCATGCAAAGAGTACAAGAAATAAGAGGTTGGGGGCTGAATTCTGATTTTACAGTATAAATGAAGAGAAGAAGCATTAAAGTTAATAGAATTTTCTAGAGTAATGTTAGTCTCTCAAAATGGCAATCTAATCCTAGCCTTAAAATAGAAAATAAAGTGTTTGCCAAACTCATTAAGGTATGTGCATGCAATCACTTCAGATGTCACTTCAATGAGTGTAAGCAGTGATGACCTTTCCAGCTGCACAAATCCTCACTTTATTAACCACTTCTTTAGAGGAAGTTATAGGAAGGGGCAGTCAAAGAATTGGGTGTCACATCCTGTTCAGGAGCACCATGGTCACCCTGATCTTTTCTGTGAGCAAGCACAGGAGAGTTGCTGAGAAATTTATCTCTGATATAGACTCCAGCTTGAAAGTGCTGCAGTCCTTAGTGAGCTGAGCTGCTCAGGGGAGGCTGTGGTTTGATGAAGTGACATGGACTTTCAGCAAATTCATTGTTAAAGCTTTAGAAAGGAGGAACAAAGGCCTGAGTTTGCTCTGCGGGAGTTTGGGGTACTGTGGAAGATGGTCTAATGGTACAATGATGAGACTCAACCCAGCCTTCTCATCAAAACACTTTATTAAAACAAAACAGATGCCCTTGGCAAAAAGTAATGACCGGAAAGGGTGTGGGAAAGAAGCACATGTTTATAGGCTTGTTTTTTAGAAAAGGAGCTTTAGTACTTTGAACATATTAAGGTATTAGAACAAAAGTAGTTTCTGTCCTGGGATAGTTCCACTTTGGATGGAAGAATGGAGAAGATGACCCAATAGGCTTTTTTTAAACTTGAATTCCAGTGACTTGACTTTGAATGAGAAAGCTGACATCTCTGTGTCTAGATTCAGACTTTCAAAGGGAAAGTAGGAAGCAACCTAATAGCTGTTCCAAACAGAAAATTGTATCTATATGGCTATATTCATATAACCACAGAACAGTTTGGGTTGGAAGGGACCCTAAAGATCCTATAGTTCCACCCCTGCAGCAACACCTTCCACTAGCCCAGGCTCCTCAGTGCCCCATCTAGCCTGGCCTTGACACTTGCACGGATGAGGCATCCACAGATTCTCTGGGCAACCTCTTCCAGTGTCTCACCACCCTCACAGTAAGGAATTTCATCCTAATATCTCATGCAAACCTGCTCTCTTTCAGCTGAAAGCCATTCTTCCTTGTCCTATCACTACATGCCCTTGGAAAAAGTCCCTCTCCATGACTGAATGAACAGCCCCAACTCTCTCAGCTCTTCATAGGGGAGGTGCTCCAGCCCTGTGATCATCTCAAATTAGTCACAGAGTACTAAAACACTTGTAAAAGTGTTATTGGAGCAGGATTAGCAATATCTGATTTCCCAAAAGGATCATATCACTTCAGGGTAAAGACAACAAAAAAGACTAGCTCAGTCTGTCCTTCATTAGGCTACAGTGAGCTTTTCTGTAGGATATCCACTTGCTACACCAAAATATAGTAAATGATCCTTTATTTTACATCCATGAATATGTAATGTCTCTTGAGTCTCTCAGCTACAGGGAACAATATTGATTTTCACTCCAGATGAGGGACTAGATTCTGATTCTCCACTTTCAGGTGCTGGCTGATTGCTTCAAGATCTACTTTTCTCTGCAAAACTAGACTGAGGTTAGGACAATACCTTCTTTCTCTCAATTCCCACCCAGACATTGCTGCTGATGCAGTGCCTTATATCAGAGCACACCTAATAAAAAAGGGATTTCTATGCCTGCAGTAAAGCTCATTTGTTTCTGCCTGCAAGCAAATTCTGAGATGCAGCACAATGCTGCTGGCCAGCCCTTTGGACAGTCATTCTGACCTATTCTTTGCA